ATGGCGCAGCTGCCCTCCCCCGCCGTCATCGCCGACCTCCACCGCCTGCCGACCGCCAGGGGCAACCTCGTCTTCGACACCCTCAACGCGAACAGCTTGACCATCAAGCTGCGCATGCCCAACATGGCCGTCCTCCCGCGCATCGCGCGCATCAACCACGACTGCCGCCCCAACGCGTACATGCGCCTGCCCACCGACGGGCTGTCCGGTACCGTCGTCGCGGGCGAGCAGGGCATCGCGCAGGGCGAGGAGATCACCATCAGCTACTTGCCGGTCGAGTTAGCAAGAGAGCGCCGTCGGCGGAACCTGGGGAAGGATTGGGGGTTCGAGTGCGGGTGTAAGCTGTGCACCGCGCCGGAGGAGGATGTGGCGGCCTCGGATGCGAACAGGAAGAGGCTGCACGAGCTGGAGACGAAGTCGCAGTATGCTTCGTATGATAACAAGACGGAGGAGGCGATTCAGCTTACCGAGGAGAGTTTGGAGGTGCTCCGTGAGGAGGACTTGATGATTACGGCGAAGTGGCGGTATATGTGGCTGTCGATGTTGTACGAGAAGCTAGGCCGGGAGGATGACAAGCAAAAGTATGAGAAGCTGGCGGATGAGTGGAAGGAGAAGTGGCTGGGTGATGATGTCGATTGGGAGATCCGAGCATAAAGATGTCGCATCATCCAAAATTTCGTCGGGATGTGTGATAATTGGTCATTATTCGATTGTGTAACAGGGCTTCTTTCGTACCCGATACTATCTACAGTGAATTAATCTACTTGTTCAACCGGGGAGCCCTCTCAGGCTCTCTCCAGTAAAGACACGCCTCCCTGCGAATAATATCCTCCTCGACCCTCGTGCCGTTGTTCGGCTCAACAACAAGCTGCAGCGCCGGCTCCGACTCCAGACCGTACCCGGTGGGCTTGTAGCTGGGCCACTCCGGACTACCAGGGTACCTGTGCGTGTTCGGGTCGCCCGACAGCACGAAGCTGGACAGGTAGCCGTGGTAGACGTGGCTGATCTCGGGGTACTGCACGACGGGCTCGTCCCAGGTGTACTTCGTATCCGCCGTGTGGGGGATGCCGCGCCACGCGGGCCACGAGTTGTTCGTGTTGAAGCGCAGCTTCCATGTCGGCACGTCCGCCAGCGACGCGCGGTACGCCGTCTCCTGGCCGGGGCAGATGTACGCGTAGTCGCTCCACGCGGCCGAGAGGCGGTTGTACTGCGTGCTGTTGGGGGAGTTGGCGAAGGGCGAGTCCGGGTGCGTCGCCGGGTCCGGGTAGAGCTCCTGCAGCAGCGCGAGGTCGGTCTCGTTGAGCGCGGGGGACGTGTTGTGCATGTAATCGACGAACTCCTCGTTCGTCTCCTTGTCGCCGGCCATGTAGTACTTTGCCTCGTCGTTGACGTTGGAGGTGATGGTCGGGACGTGGAAGAAAGTGCCGTCGTAGCCGGACTGCGAGCCGAACTTCTCGAGAAGGGGCCCGCCCTGCGTCGGCTGGAAGGGCCAGGTGAGCGCCGGGTCGTAGTCGTTGTACAGCTGGGTGCTGATGTTGCGGATGGCGTCGATGTCGGCGGTGCGCAGGCACGACAGGGCGGCGGCGTTGTCGGCGCCGTCCGTCGGGCAGCCGAGGTAGGCCATGTAGGTCTCGAACTGCTTGACGTAGAGGGGGTAGGTGGCGTTGGGGAACGCGCGGGCGGTGACGGAGCCGGACTGGTGGATGGCGCGGGCGAAGAGCGGCTTGCCGGCGTCGGCGTCGTAGTTGTGGAAGTAGTGGATGCCGACGGAGTGCCCTCCGGCGGAGCGGCCGCCGATGGTGACGGCCTCGGGGTCGCCGCCAAAGGCGGAGATGTGCTTCTGCACGAACTGCAGGAAGAGGCGCTGGTCGAGCACGCCGAGGTTCAGCAGGCCCTCCTCCTCGAAGAGGGCCGACGGCAGGAAGCCGAGGGAGTTGAGGCGGTAGTGGAAGTTGACGACGGTGATGGGTTCCTTGGAGGAGGCGGCGAAGGCGGCGCCGTCGAAGGACTTGTAGCTGCCGGCCACGAAGGCGCCGCCGTGGATCCAGACGAGGACGGGTGTCTTCTGGTCGAGGGGCACACCGCGGGTGCGGAAGACGTTGAAGTTGAGGCAGGCCTCGTCCTGGGTGCTCACGTCGGTGGAGGTCGGGTCTTGGACGCACGTCTTGCCGAAGGCGGTGGCCTGCTTGGTGCCGTTGAAGGCGGCCGGCCAGGAGACGGGCTTGAAGCGGCCCTCGGGCCCGGCGGGCTGCGTCGCGTAGTCCATGCCGAGCCAGGCGTCGACGGGCGCGGGGAGCGCGCGGCCGCTGAAGGTCGAGTTGACGACGGTGCCGGCGAAGGTGCCGTAGTCCTTGAGGGTGACCGGGTTGTAGGCGGCGGCGGCGGCCGGGGACAGGACGACCTGCGACGCCGCGAGGAGCGACGAGGAGAACTTCATGATGACTGACTGCGTCGAGCCCTCGTCTCCGTGATGTTGTCTCGGTTGTACTTCTTCACCGTGGATGAAGGAGGTGAAGAGGGAGGAACATAGCAACACCGATGCGCAGCACCGGATGCTGCCGATCTTTAAGAGCATTTTTTTCGGTCTCTCGTTTCCTCTTCCGCGTTGCGCCGCTTCGTGTTTCCCCTCTCGTTGACGACAATTTCCCGACGACCCGCTCACAAGACGACCCCGTTCGTCGCTGGGATGGTCTTGATGGAGGCAACGTTGAAAACCCATTGACCACTGACGTTGGAGAATTGGGAAGAGTTGGAGAAGCCCGGATCCCTGACTCAAGCATCAAGGCACACCCGGACAGCGGAGAGCTCGCTGCGAGCACGCTAGATCCGTGGAGATCGATGTCATTGCTTAAGCGAAGAGGGGTCCCTCTCCGATATCGTCGGCGCTCACTTTTGGAGCCCGGGGGTGCCAAGAACCAAGATGGGGATTATGGATGACTTGACGCTGTGCAGCCAATGAGGTGAGCGGTGTTGATAAGAAGCAGCGCAAATGACTAAATCTCCAAACACAAAGCTTCAACTGCTCACCGAGAGAGAGAAAGGGAGCCCCGCAAACAGAGGCCTTTTTGGGGATCGGCAAGGGTAGTATGTACCCCAACCTCCCCTTTTGCCAGCCGGTCGGCTCTTTTCTTCAGGAACGTCGTGGATTTTGGCATTAACGAGTGGGGTTTTGGGGGAGGCAGTGCGATTGATGATTGATGAGAACAGGGTCGAATAAGGTGTGATAAACACGCTTTGATAGCGAGCGCCAACATCCGTCATCCGAGTTCGTCTTCCGCGATCCGATATCTATCCTCTATCTTCTTTTTGCTTTTGTCTTTCACGTGATATCGTCATTGATGTCTCCCCGTCCGCCACGTCTTGCGGAGTAACCCGAACATTGCTGAGCAGCCCGACGGCGCAGATCGGGTTCATCCCATCCCCGAAGACCGTGCACCAAGTGATTCCCAAAGTGTTCGCTTCTGGTGATGATGAGAGCAGGGCCTGTCTCATGCTGACCTCAACCAGCCATCTCCTCGTCCTCATCGTCGTCTCCAAGTCCTGCCTCCAGGAACGATGCGCGGTTCTGCTCAACAGCCTGCACGAACTCCTCCTTGCGGAATGCATCGGGCCACCCAAACTCATGGTACAAGCCCTTGACCAGCTGAAGCAGTGTTAGAGTCATGTTTTCAAGATATGATGTTTTCGGTGCTCAATTGCAAAACTCACCTGTCCCTCCTCGGTGTGCTCCTCCACAACCCGCGCATCCCACTTGCCCGACCGCGGCGCCGGGACGACGTCCAAGTTGCCCACCTGCGCGTAGACGTTGTCGAAGTAGGTCTCAATCGGCACAGCCTCGACAGCCTTCCACGGCTCTCCCTCTGGCGCATCTTCGTCGCCCTCAAACTCGGTGCCGTAGGGATAGATGCATCCTATGTAAATTTGTTAGTAAACTCATCAGGTCCATATAGACGTAGACCCTCAGAATAAAAAGGAAGTCCGTCAAAATCAACACGTAAAAAGAAAAGAAAAAAAATGAAACCAACCCTCATCCGTATCAACCAGCCACCAAATCCCCTCGTCCGCATGCGTCAACGAGACCATGCCCGCCGGCACGGGCCCGTCAAACGGCGCGAACCCCAAGTCCAGCATCGCCGTCGTCGCAAAGTCCTCCCCGCTCGCCGAGCCGAACCAGCGCCCGTCCCGCAGGTACCGCAGCGGGAACGTCTCCGTGTACACCTCGACGGGGTCCGCCGTCTCGTTCTCGCGCAGGTACGGCATGTGCCGCAGCAGGTCGATCGCCGTCTCCGAGCGGCCCATCGCCCGCAGCGCGTCGACGCGCAGCTCGGCGTCGCTCCAGCCGGTCCCCGAGGGCGGCAGCTGCACCACCGAGGCGTCCATGTAGCCCATCCGCACGAGCAGCTCGTAGTGCCGCGTGAGGCAGTTCACGACGGTGTCGCGGTTGTAGCCTGACATTTTTCCTTCTTTTTTCCTTTTATGAAAAATAAGGAAAATGTGCTCTGAGAGTTCTGGCTGAGGGGTGGGAAGCTATATGGGGATCTTGTTGGTGAGGTGAAGATTTTTGAGTGAGCGGTCCCTCTCCCCTCGCCCCGGTGTGGGGCGCGTCGTGGAGGCGGGTTACTGGTTCCTGAATCGACTGCAACAAAGACGATGAAGACGACATCATCAAGTATGATATCGCGGTTTCCGGTGTGTATTTAAACTTTGTGATATGTCGGGATGATCAGAAATCACACCGATTTCTTTACCCATGCCAATTGAGTGCTTTACATCAATGCAGACCGTAATGATAATATTTCTAGTCATTTTGTTTCACTTGTTAATGCCAAACACAACGTTCGAGCAACGTTTTGACCTTTTTCAACCAATGTGGTAGAAAACTACGCAACTTCTAAAAACACCATACGGCGTCTTTTGAAGTTATCTATGCAGGTAGAATTTTGTTTGGAAAAGTTTGTAATCTCTGGGGAGCTGAGGGGTGTATGTACACGACAACGTGCTTACTTCTCATCATCAAGCACCAGCAGGTTCCTGTGCACAGCATTAGAAGACCGCGAATTTCAAAATGAAGAGAAACTTACCATGAGACATTCCATCCATGCCGTCCTCCTAAGCTCTTACACATCCCTCGACTGCCCAAATTGTTCGGCGCAACATCCGCAGAACACCATCCGTCCGGACCGTATTCGGACGTGCTCCTCTTGAACAACTTGGCAGCAAGAGCCTTTGCATAACCTCTCTTACGATAAGGTTCCTACGAAATATTAGCAACGTGTCCTGCTAGGTTGTTAAGAAATGAATTACTTCGCAGTGAAGACTCGACAGAGAAGCATCAGTCCCTAAAGCCAAAGTCAGTATCAATCACCCCCAACATACAAGTCAACTCATTGACCTACCCAAGAACGACCACGCAATAGGCGTCCCATCCTCCAACTTCAGCACCAAACTCGGAAACGTCAATAACGTCTTCCTATTAAAAAAGTCAGCAACCCAGCCTCCTCCCCACCTCCCACATAAAACTTACACCTGCCGCGGAATACTCGTCCTCGAAATAACAACCTCACAATCCCTCTCACCCGCCCTCTCCCACCTCGCCCCCGGCGGCAACTCAACCTCCACCTCCGGCACATCCTCAACCCGGAACAGCCACTTCTCATACTCATACTCCTGCCGCGCCTCGATCCCCACCCCGCGGCGCACCATCGCCTCCTTCACCGCCGTCGCCAGCGTGCCCACCAGGCACCGCCCCGGATACCCCCTGTGCTCAGGCTGCTCGCGCGCCACGGCCTTCACGGCATCGACCACCGCGCCGATCTGCGCCTCGCACACCTCGCGGTCCGCCGCGGGAATGGAGGATGGCGGGGCGTCTTCGAGGGTGGAGTACATGAAGAGCGAGGTCTCGATGCCGCTCCCGAAGTCGAGGTACGCGGCTGCAAAGTTGCGCGGGGTATCGGATACGGGGGCGTCTGCGGCGAGGATGATGCGCGCCGTGGGCCGTTGGCCGCCGGGGAAGCGTGTGAACTGCAAGCGCCGGAGGATGGGGAGAGAGTGTGGGAGGTGGGATTCGAGGAGGGGGATGAGGCCGTCCGGGACGGAGGTGTGTATCGCGGCCATATCTGATACTCTGAGGTTCAGTGAAAGGGAGTGGGAAAGGTTTGATGTTTTCGTGAAGCTGGCTGTCGAGGGGATTGCGTGCTGAGGTTGATGTGCGTCACGTAGCGGGTGGTTATCGGCGTTAGGGAATATCCGCTTGGTGCGCTATCACATCAGATGATTGGTGTGGCTCGATGAGGAAGTTGCCAATGGAGACTTGAGAGTGACTCACCCATCACCCTCATCGAGAGTGTCTCTTGCGCTGAAGATTGATGGGATGAGTCAACTTAGACATTGCTATTTTAACGTTCATTGATGTCTTATTTGAGAATTGCAATGATGGGTAAGATTTAAGATGGTTATTTATAACCACGTTAAAATCGTATGTGAAAACATCAATATGATCATTAGCAACCCGAGCTTCAAGCCAATACAAAACTTAGCATTATATGATGCAAATATTAAAATTATGCATTGTCGAAATACATACAGACACTTAATTTTGGCTCCAAATTTGAATTCGTGATGATCTCGCCATCATGTTTGGGAGAGACCCAGGTCGGCCAATTACTAGTATTTCATAGAATTTCAAAGCCATCATGGAGATGGACATTTCATTTTTGTAGTAGATACTTGCTTTTCATGATTCTCTGCATCAGTTTGCTCATCCAGAACAACGTGCCAACAATATTTGCCCTCCACCGTACACCAAGCTCACCCGCGCCCCCAAAAAGCTGTGCTCCTGCACCACGAAAACTCAATTCCCTCAACTCCGATGTCAACCGCCGGTGACAGCTTGATAAAGATCTACTCTCCCGCCCACAGAGATGCACGGCAGCGGGGTGCGCCCTTTTGACGTTGGACGTTGTAGGCTAAGCCCCGATGGACCGTGTGGGGGGCTGCCGCCAAATGTCTCGGTCCAAAAAATCTCCTCCCAACCCCATTCCGGATCTGCACCGGGTGGCCGCTCAACAAGAAAAAATTTACCCCATGTCGCGATGGCGGTCGGTGAGCCCCATGTGCTGTGAGGTAGTGACTCACCGGCTCACCTCGCGCTTCCCCAACTCCCAAGAACCCCGCACCAGTAACCCAAGCACGCAAGTCGCGATCACGACTTACGCGTCGGGAAGGTGGTAGATCTTCTGGATGTCGTGGAGCATGGACTCGTGGTCAATCTTCAGGTCCTTGAGCAGACCGTCGTTGAAGCCAAAGACCCAGCCGTGGACGATGGGGAACTTGTTCTTGGCGTAGGACTGCTGGATAGCAGCAGTCTTGATGACGTTGCGGCACTGCTCGATAACGTTGAGCTCGACCAATCGGTCGTAGCGGGCCTCCTCGTCCTTGATGGCGTCCAGCTCGGCCTCGTGGAAGCGGTAGACGTCGCGGATGTTCCTAAGCCAGGGGTTGAGGAGGCCCAGATCCTTGGGGGTCATGGCGGCCTTGACGCCGCCGCAGCCGTAGTGGCCACAGACGACAATGTGCTTGACCTGCAGGTGGCGGACGGCGTAGTTGATGACGCTCATGACGTTGAGGTCGATGTTGTTGACGAGGTTGGCGATGTTGCGGTGGACGAAGGCCTCACCCGGGCCGAGGCCGGTGATCTGCTCGGCAGGGATGCGCGAGTCGCTGCATCCGATCCAGAGGTACTCGGGGGTCTGGCCGGCGGAGAGGGTGACGAAGAAGTTGGGGTCTTCCTTCTTCTTCTGCTCGGCCCAGGCCTTGTTGTGCTCAAAGACGCGGTCGTGCGTCTGCTTGAGGTACTTTTCAATGTCGTTTTCGGCCATCTTGTCGAAGTCGGGCTGCTCAGGGATGGGCTTGGTGACCTTGGAGAAGCTGGCGTGCTGCTGCTGGAGGTGGTGAGGTCTGAGGGCGGCGATGTTGGGGGAGAGTCTTGGGGGAAGAGGACGGCCGAGTCGCGCAGAGGATAGAAGAGAGCGCGGGACGGGGCTGGATTTAAACATTAGAGGAAGGGGAAGAGGTAGAAGCAAGGGGGGAGGAGGGAGGAAATAAGAAGGGAGAGGAAAGGGAAGAAGGATGACGGGAGGACGGAGGAAGCGGAGGTGATTCGGGAGGAGGAGCTACAGGCGAGGCGGCTGCAGGTCCGGAGGTTTGGCGCGATTGGCTGCTGGATCTGGATCTGACCGTAGAGGAGGAGGAGCCAAAGGAGCCAAGATTGAAGAAATGTCGCAGCAAGCACGCCTTTCCTTTCCAATTGCTTCTTGGCTGCGGGCTGCCGTTGCTGCTTCGTCTTCGTCTTCGGAAGATTTGTTGGGAAGGTCCGACGATCGTGCTAGAGACGTCACTGCGCAGAACGGTGCCAAGACGGTGCGTAAACGGTGCGGCGCTCCTTTTTTTTGTTCTGTCGATAGTCCGGCGCTCCGGCGGGGGAGAGGGGAGGTTGGGCGATCAGGTACGGAGTGTTGAATTGACTTGGGGGGAAATGATGAGGTTGGGACAGTGCAGATTCGCAGTCAGTGTCACTAACTAAATTATCACGGGAAGGGTTCGAGGGAAGATGATGGGACCTAAAAACGGAGACTAGGTGCGGCAAACGGGAGCTTGGCGAAACAGACGAACAAAGCTTCATCTGTTTGAAGAAATCTGGGCGGCTAATTATAAGATCTCATATAATATCTCGCTCAAAAAAAACGCTCGATCGATCTGGAATGGATCTGAGAAAAGCAGCAAGGTACAGGCATGAGTCAACAACGGCTTAAAAGCGCTCACAGCCCAAACGGCCCAGCAGGACAGCGATGAACCCCGCCGGTACCCGTCTGCAACTCTGGAAAGCCCACGAAGCCCTCTCAAGCCATTAAAAAAAGCCAGAAAAGTTTCAATAGCGCCGCCGGCCCCCCGTTTCAATGTGCGCGGCCAATTTCTTGGCTGACAACTTACGGAAACGCGGCCCTGCGACTGCATCTCGCTGCCGACGATCTTGGCCAAGACGGCACATACTGATTTCCAGCCTGGGTTAGGCGTCATCTCACCGACAGATTCCCGAGGGGTGATTTGACATGTGCAGAATTTCATGGATGGATGGATGGCAGGAAAAATGGAGGCACGTTGCACCGGAGCCTTGCTGAATCTGGGGTTTGAGTCAATTCGAAATCCGTTGATTCGTCTCCATGCTCTTCTCTCAACATCCAGCCCTGGCCCCCCTGTTTCTTTTTCTTCCTGCACTGTGTCGCTCCGAACCGGTCACCGCGCCGTTCTTGCGCCGTGGAAGGCCGGCTCAGGCTCCACATATTCTCGGAGCCCCGGCGTCACTGGACCAAGCACCCCCGGCTTGCTGTCTCTTCTGTCTTGCCCCCCTCTCTTCCGTCCAGTCCCGTCTTGATCCCCACCCTTTGACTCGTAGTGCCTCTCATCTGTACCATGCATCCGCTCACATAAGAGTGTCTCATCAAAGTGCCGAACCTTGCAGCTGATGCTCCTACGTCTCTTGAACTCAACGGGGTTCCCGGGGACGCGAGCTCGACCTTGGGAAAAGAGGTCCCAGCGAGAATCCCGCCATGACCCCCATCGGCACAGTGCCCCCATCCTCCTCGACAAGTCGCATCGACTTGCAGACGACCTTAGCTTGGACCCCAACGGTCCCCGAATTCCTTTTGTCATTCAACAGAGGCACATCCGCACACCAGTTCAGGCAGTAAGGCCACTCTGCGCTCACTAGTCTGATGCCTTTTCTTCCGAAGGAAACATGCCAAACTGGGTGAAACCGGAGAGGGGAAACCCCTGCGTGTCAGTGAGCGGCCCCCGCGTGTTCTAGCTTTGCTTTTGTTCGGCTGACAGAGCAGAACCATGGACGTTTCGTCTCTTTGGTCTAGCAGAGAGAAAGCTACTTTGCCTTGGAGCCTTTTTGATCTCGATGGAGAGAATCCTTCATTGCTAGCTGCTTGCTAGTAGCTGTCAAAATTGAAATAGCAACACTAGGCTGATGGATTGACAGCCATTAGTCTATTCAAGAAACGCGGGGTAAAGAAGACATCTGCAGTCAGGACAACTTGGAACATCATGAATCGCAATCAGCTGCGTCGTCTGGTGCTTCAACGTAGGAGGCAACACGTGAGAGTTTCAAGAAGGCAAGATTAAGGTGTCCCGTGAGCAGGAAGTCACGCAGGTTAAGCCTTCAGTTCGTCGCAATTTTGCATGCCCAGTGCTGATTTCCTGATACTTAACAGCACCCATTTCCTTGTCCCCCCACGTAGAAAGCTCGGGAGTCCCTTTTGTGAACTTCTTTTCGTTTTTCTTCTCTTCGTTTCGTCCCGGGTTGCCACTAGCTGGCAGTGAATACCGTCTCATTATTCATATCTAATCTTTTTATTTTTTTCGTCTTTGCTTCGGTCAACCATGGTCACCTGGGGTGCACCATCACGAGGAGGCCTGGCCCTCCTGGCCGCCTTCCTAGCTCTCACCCAAGCGGCCATCTTCCCCCGGCAGAGCAGCGAGGCCCCGCGCGCCTGGGTCACCGTCGAAGCCGATGGCGCCACCAAGACCATCACACCCACCGTCAACGACGGCAAGACCACCTCGGCGTTCCCGGGGAACACCGCCCTCCCGACGGCCGAGGCACAGGGCGGCGGCGCCTTCGTCCTCTGCAACCCCGCCGCCGGCTCAGGGGGCCTCGCCCAGCCGTTCTGCGCGCCAGCCAAGGACAATCAGGTGGAGGGTGGCAAGACGTACTTTGGTGAGCAACAACAGCTGCAGCTCCAACACCAGCTCCAGCAGCAGCAGCAGCAGCCCTGTCCCCCCATGCATCGACTGCAACTCGTGGGACGGCCGCTAATCGTGTACCAGTCACCTGGGACGCCTCCCTCTTCCCCTCCACCAACACCGTCGTCCAGGTCCAGGGCGACTACGGCGTGACGAGCACCATCAAGGAGCCCGGGCACGGCTTCTCGTCGCTCGAGATCCCGGCGTCGGCGGGCTTCTTCGAATGGGCCGTGCTGGGCTACGACATGCCCGCCGGCGAGGCGATGGACGTGCAGCTGTTCCTGGCGATCCCGGCGGCCAACGGCAGTATCGTCGCGCGCAACGCGGGGCCCAAGGTGCGCGTCATCAGCAACAATCGGACCTCAATTAACGACCCGGTGCGCCGCAAGGTCAACGTGCTGGGGATCGTGCTGCCCATCGTGTTTGGCGTGCTGTCGCTCTGCGGTATTGGCTGGTTCGTGTGGTGGTATGGTAGGAGGAAGGGCATGTTCGCGTCGCGCAGCCAGGGGTATGGTATTGGGAAGAGCCGCGGGCAGAGGACGGACGGGCTGAGGCTTGCGGACGGCACGTTCACGTCGGCGAACCGCGGCGGGGTGGAGATGATGCCGCCGCCGAGACCGCCTCCGCCGACCACCGGTAATGCTTTCCGCGATGAGTTGAACAGACAGGAGCGGAATAATGAGGCACGCAGCGATATGATGTAAGGAGTGGGCCAGATGCCTGGGTCACTTGACATGAGTAACGGCTTGTAACAACATGACGCTCGTTAAAAAGGGAGGTATTGTGTGATTATTGAGATGGTAGACGACAGAGGGCAAGTTCCGGGTGATGGATCTAATTCAAATAGAATATCCAAATCAAAAGCTCAGGGTATGAGTTATGCCGCATATATAGAAGATTTGGTAAAATTGCAGTGACATGCACCATTTGAATGATGATGTTGACTTGAACCAGACTTGAGCCCATGAACTGGTCATCATTTGATGCGAGTTGGGCTTCGAGGCAAAGATATGGTGATGAGCCAAGCGAGGCCAATGAGAACGTTGAACAGGCAGCCTCTAATCAAGTGTCCCAGCCACTGGCTAAAGGCAACAAGAGTGTAAAACAGTCCAAACTCGAATATGCTTATCCGACATGGCCAACACAAATCTTGAGAAGGATGGGAGCGCTTCATCAACGGTTTTCTCGTTGTTCTCTGACAGCTGAAGCTCTGACGGTGGATACCATCCCGAAACAGAAAGGTGGTGAAGGCAGAGAGCGGGGCCACAAGGACCACCCCATTGGCTGCACTGAACAAAAATTAGGCGAGTGAAAAACGCACTGACCAGCACCACAGGGCTTCCAAACCCCAATCGCCGCCGGCAGCGCTCGTTCGGTGTGGTCGCGAACATTTTGGACATCTCGAGATTTTTTTCCCTTTCGACCTCTGTCCCGCTCGAGCAATCCCGTCAACTAACCCGACCACCACGTCCAACCAGCCCCAACCAACCGCCAAAATGAGCGCCGCGTTGAACAAGATCGCCCCCAACAGCCCCTCGCGGGCCAACCCCTCCGAGCTCGAGCAGAGCATCGCCCAGGCTCTGTACGACCTCGAGAGCAACACCGCCGACCTCAAGGTCGCCCTCCGCCCTCTGCAGTTCGTCTCTGCCCGCGAGGTGAGAACTACCTGAAGAATCCGCCAGAAAGGACTCGCACAGAAATCTCGAAATCGACAATCCTGTTCCTGCCGCCACGGATTGACCAGCCAGCCAGCCAGTCGACCGACAAGAGAGAACCCATGGATATGTGACTCGCGCACCGTCGTTCCCCCAGTTCCACCGATTGAGAGATCGAGGAGAATATGGAAGGAGCCGGAGCGAGAATGTTTCCTGCGGCGGTTGAAGATCTCAGGTCTGGTTGAACGCTAGCGCTGAAATTGCTGCAGCCGTGGCGGCAAAAGATTTGAACGCTGAAAAGACTCATAATCTCAGGAACAGGACGGGAAGCGGTCCAAGGCATTCGTCCTGGAGCTCGCATGCTGACTTGTGATCTTTGGTAATAGATCGAGGTCGGCCACGGCAAGAAGGCTGTCGCCATCTTTGTCCCCGTTCCTTCCCTGCAGGGCTTCCACCGCGTCCAGCAGCGGTAAGTTCCACTCCACCACTCTACTCTTCCCGAACCCGCGATGCTAATACCCCCCAGCCTCACCCGTGAGCTCGAGAAGAAGTTCTCCGACCGCCACGTCCTGATCCTGGCCTCCCGCCGCATC